CAGTTTCAGGACACTTAAGCTGCATTTGCATTCAAACGATGATTTATCTGTCACTGTTAGAAAGAAAAGAGAGACTGGTTAAAGGAGAGTGTGATGTGCCAGCCCCATACCTGAATTTACACTATTTTTCAACTTGCTCCTCACACACGTGTTTCCTAATGTAGGCCAAAGACATCCATGAAAGCACGACTTATTTACGCTCAAAAATGATTGATCTAGACAGCCCATGAAATACCGACTCCCTCCTCCTGTCGCTTGATGCACGAACACTAGCAATACTCATGGTTTCAAGGAGCAAGACTGACTCTGTGGAGGATCAGTCTGAATGCCAAGATGGACTGTTCAGTGTTGTTACGCCCGTAAAAGTGACCAGGTAAGCACGGGGATATGGGAGGCCACTTATCCTGCACAGGGACTTCTGTCAGGGGTTTGTGAAGTTTTCAAGCCTCAAGAGCATGTGGTTTTCTTATCAAGGAGTTGGCAAAAGTTATACTGGGGTTAGCAAGCTAAAGTCTGCCTTAAAAATCACCACCACATACATGGAGTTAGTGAATAAATAGGCACACGTGAGGACATTAGAGCAAAACAAACGTGACTTTTCCAAGCCTGGACTCCTAAGGCATCATTTTTAGGCATCAAACGTAGTTTTCTATTTTTAGCCAAAGTGAGGACAACCTTATCCACACACCAAATCCTAAGATGTGGAAGATGTAGTGTTCTCTTCGTGAGAAAAAGAACCTGTTTGATAAGAATTTGAACTACAGCCATCAATATATTTGCAACATTTAACTCCTGAGAAGGAAATTGTAAACGCTTTTTGCTTTGCTTCATTTGGGACTTCAGTATGCAAGTGTATATATCGGCCAAACATTTTAAAATTGTGAAGTAAGTCTCATCTAAGCCTTCTTTCCCTCCCTTCCTCCCTTTCTTCTTTCCTTCCTGCCTTCCCTCTCCACTCCTCTGCAGAGCAATCTTGCTCTGGACCCAGACTTGAATATCACAGCCATCTAAATTTTCTGCCTAACAAACAACCTTACAATCACTAGAATGTCCTCATCTTTGAAGGAAATTTTATTCCTGTTATTGTGGTGTAGCAAAGTATTCCATCCAAATAGAAATAACATTTTCTCGATAATAATTTCTAAGCCAAGAGAATATACCATTGTCTTTATATCAGTTTACCAAACAGGAGAACTTCATCAGGCTGAAACATCATCATAAAAAATGCCTTTATTGCTTCCAAATCTGTGTGGTTATATTGCAAATTTAGAGGCAAAAAAGGAAAATGGGTAAGGAATGAACACATGATAATTCAATGGAGAGAGCGCCAAAAGTATTCTTTCCACAATTCGTTAGTAAATAATGGTGGGCCAAAGACTGCACAGTTTCAAGGAATAGACTATTTAAAAGAAAAGCGAGGAGAAATGATGAGATTGAAGTTGAGAGAGAAAGTGATGAAATGGAAAGCAGAAGTGGGAAAAAAACTTTAGAAAGCTTTTTCTATATGGATATAGGAAGGGAAAACATAAAGGGTAAATACATTGAGAAGTTTTGGAGAAGGTACAGACAGTGGAGTTACAAAGAAGTATTGAGATGGCAGGAGAAATTGACCTCAAGTTATCTATGTAGACCCTAGAGATGGGTGGGGAAAACTAAAAATTTAGTATGAAGAGTAAAAACTCGTATCCAAAAGGTACATCCGATCCCCATGCTGATCCCCTTTACTGGTGGTAATGCACCCAGCCCTGAGTTCTGTGCTGTGGGCTGCCAAGTCCAGAGGCACCCTCTTGTAGAGTGTGACCGCCCCTTGCATGTCAGACGCCGGTGCTCATTGGCACAGAGGTACAAAAACATGGACGGCAGTCCTGGACTCCAGGCGGGACCAGCCTTGTGGGTGCCATTCTTGATCCAGGGCCTCACAGTGGAGCAGAATAGACTCCAGAATTCTTAAAACACGTTCTTCCCGGATGTCCTCCCCTACCTTATCCTGCTGCCTTACGACTTTACTCCTGAGGGCATTAAATGGGATAAATCACTGAAATGAGAATCCCTATCTCAGGTTCAGCTTTAGGAGACAGGCGTGTCTAAAAGTTTAATGGCACTGCAAAATGGTGCTGCTGGTGCTCCTGCTGCTGCTGCTGCTGGCGCTGGTGTTGCTGGTGCTGCTGCTTCTGCTGCTGGTGCTCCTGGTGCTGCTGCTTGTGCTGCTGCTGGCGCTGGTGCTACTACTTGGGGTGGAGAGGGAAAGCAAAGTGCCATTCTGGAGTGCTGAGATTGGAATGTTGTGGTAGCCACAGAACCATTCTGGAGTGCCGAACTGGGGGTGATGAGGGAGTCTGAAGAGCCGTTGTAGAATGCTGAGCTGGGCGTGGTGAGCGAGTCTATAGAGCCATTCTGGAACGTGGAACTAGGGGTGTTGAGGAAGCCAAAGAGCCATTCTGGAGTGCTTACCTTGCTGTGGTGAGGGAGCCCCAAGAATCATTCTGGAGTGCTAACCTTGGGGGTAGTGAGGGAGACCCAAGAGCTATTCTGGAGTGCTCACCTGGGGTGGTAAGGGAACCATAGGAGACATTCTGGAGTGCTCACCTGGGGGTAGTCAGGAAGCACGAAGATCCATTCTGGAGTGCCTACCTGGGGTTGGTGAGAGAGCCATAGGAACCATTCTGGAGGGCTCACCTGGACGTGGTGGGGAGCCTAAAGAGTCATTCTGCAGTACGGAGCTGCTGGTGATGAGGGACCCAAAGAGCTATTCTGGAGTACTCACCTGGGGGTGGTGAGGAAGCCCCAAGAGCCATTCTGGAGTGCTCACCTGGGGGTGTGAGGGAGCCTGAAGAGTGATTCTGGAGTGCTCACCTGGGGGTGGTGAGGGAGCAGGAAGAGCCATTCTGGAGTGCTCACCCAGGGTTGGTGAAGGAACTGGAAGAGCGTTTCTGAAGTGCCAGGCTGAGGGTGGTGAGGGAGCCCAAGGAGCCACTGTTGAGTGCTTACCTGGGGGTGGTGAGGGAGCCCCAAGAGCCATTTGGAGGGCTGAGCTGGTGATGTTCAGGGAGCCAGAAGAGCCATTGTGGAGGGCCAGACTGATGATGGTAAGCAGACAAAATCTGACTCAGCCACACACACAAAGAATGAAATCTCTCCATTGGCAACAACATGGTGGAGGGTATGGTGCTGAGTGAAACAAGTCAGACAGAGGAAAAAAAATGCCAGACAACTGCACTTACAAGTGGAATCTAAAAAATAAGGTAATCAAGCAGAACAGAAATAGACTCATAGACACAGGGAACAGAGTGATAGTTGTCAGATATGGTAGGGGTTGGGGGGCTGGGTGAGAAAGGAGAAGGGATTCAGAAGGACACACTGGTTGTTACAGAATAGTCAGCAGGAAGTAAAGTGCAGCACAGGGAATAGAGTCAATATTGTAATAAGTATGTACGGTGTCAGATGGGTACTGGATTTATGGGGGGATCACTTTATAAGTTATATAAATGCCTAATCACAAAGTTACACACCAGAAAGTAATATAATATTGTAGAACAACTATAATTTAAAATAAACATATTAAAAAGAAGATATATATGGAATTTATTATACAAATGGATTATTTTCTTAACTGTCCTTAATGAAAATGGAGAATAAAAAATAAAATATCTGGGATGACCAGCAAAGTGCACAAACACACTTCTGCTACATCCCCAAGTGCCATGAGCCCAGGAAAGTGACCTGTGAGGGCTGAGTCAGCCTATTTCTCACAGAACAGCAAGTTCACTTAAGAGAATGAGAGACACAGAACCTGTGATGACTGAGGTGTGGTGAACTGGTGAACACTCTCTCAAATGAACCTGAGCTTGTCCCTCAAGGAGAGTCAACGGGCAGTTGACACCTGACAGCACTTGTTGTCTGGATGGAATGGAAGCTCTCAGAGGAAAACCAGGGTTCTGGCAAATGTGTGTCTCACCACGGCAGCCAGACAGCTTCCCAGAGCTGACAACTGCTTCCACAGGGATCTGCAGTAATGTTAACAAATGTGATTTTTCATGATGTGTCATTAAATGCACCAACATTGGGAGATCACTGTCATACTTGAAACAGTGTGTTACTTTAAATAATCCTGCATCAGTATAAGAGCCACTCAAACAACATAACAGAATAGGAGATACTCAATGGATTTGTTTCAGGTTCCACTTTGCAAAGAGCTTTTCAGGAACTATCACTTGTGTAGCTTTAGTGAACCATCAAAGCTGAATATCCACACTTATCTAAAAAGGTTTTTAAAATGTTCCTTTTATATATTTGTGTGAGGCTGTATTTTTTTAAAATAAACTACAACTAAAGTAATAGATTAAACAGAGAAGCAAATATGAAAAACTACCGGACTTCTAATGATACAGACAAGCACTGAGACTTGTGAAAAATGTAAAATGTAAGTAGATTCACTCTTCTCACTATCTCGTCTATCTGGGAAATAGTTATTTTTCACAAAAACATTATTTCTGTTAACATAGGTTATTAATATTATTCTCAATGAAGTTAAAAAAATTCAAACTGTTTTATTCCGTGTATGGTAAATATTGATAGCTATAACCCGCACAAACAAAATCATCCTTGGAATTCTCTCTATCTTGTGAGACTGTACAAATATTCTGAATCCAAAATGTCTGAGAGTCGCTGAATAAAACAGCCCATGGGCGGCGACTCAGGGAGACAGAGAGACAGAGACTTCTCTGTGTAGGAGGGGCCTCAGGACAAAGTCCCAGGTCCGCAGACCTGGCTGCAGGGTCTTAGCCAGAGACCAGGAGGACCGATGGTGTGAGGAGGGTAGTAACAGGATTGAGGGCTCCCCTTCTCCTGGGCGTTTCACTTCTTCTTACAACTTGGATCAGGTCCTACACCCCAGATACACATGACGCTTCCACAGTTCTCACTCCCATTGGATGTCCGAACATCAGAGCAGCCAATCAGCGTCACCGTGGTTCTGGGTATAAAGTCCTCACTGACAACCAGAACTCTCAGGAGGGGCCATGGGGACCCTACCGCTTCTCCTGCTGCTCTCGGGAGCCCTAGCCTTGACTGAGACCTGGGCGGGTGAGTGCGGGGTCGGGAGGGACGGCCTCTGCGGGGCGGGAGCCAGGGAACTAGGTGCGGACGCAGGACCCGGGGAAAGCGCATCTCCAGCAGCCGCCACACAGACCATAGACCCCCGAGTCCCTCCTTGGCCCCGACTCTACCCTTTCCCCGCTCCTGTGGACCACCACCCCCTTTTCCGTCCCCCTGGCCCCCTGCCCATTCCGGCCGACCGCAGACACCTGGACACTCATCCTCGCCTCCCCCAGGTACGCACACCCTGAAAGTTTCAGCACCGTGGTGTACGGTCTGGGCGGCGGGAAGTCCCGGTACATCGGCGCCAGCTACGTGGACGACATGGAGGTCGCGCAGTTCGACAGCGATGCCCCGAACCCGAGGCTGGAGCCACAGGCACCGTGGATGGAGGAGAGGCCGGACTATTGGAACGAGGGGACAGGGTTTTGCCTGCGCGAAGCACAGATTAACCAAGCGAACCTGAACAAGCTGCATGCCAACTACAACCAGAGCGAGGACGGTGAGCCACGAGTGCCCGGGTCCCGGTCACCACCCCCATCCCCACAGAGGCACGGGCCTTTGTCGCCCCAAGTCTCTGGGTCTGAGTGTCACCTCCAGGCTTCAGAACCCGCCTGTCCCCTTCCTGGGGGGAGCGCGCAGGAATTTTGATCTGGTTTGATTTTCAATTTAGCTTTAATTACCACGGGTCAGGTTCAGACAACTGGAGGCGGGACCAGGTTAAGTGGGCAGGGCTGACCCTGGGGCGGGGTCAGGGTCCCACACTTGGCAGGAAGTGACCAGCTGCGTGGGATCCGATGGACGCTTCCTCCGTGGATTAGGTCGGTTCCCCTAGGACGGCGCCGACTACCTCGCCCTGAACAAGGACCTGAGATCCTGGACCACGGTGGACACCGCGGCCCCATAACCTGGCGAAAGTTGGTGCAGGACCTTGATGCGGGACAGAAGAGGTTCTATCTGGAGAGAATCTGCGTGTGCTGGCTAAACCAGCTCTTGGAGAAGGGGAAGGAGACGCTGCTCAGAGCAGGTACCAGGGCGCAGGCCTCCCAGAGGAGGGGATCTGTGGGCTGGGGCCGCTTCCTACAAGGAGAGGTGGGGAATGGGGCAGTGTCAGAATGTCCCTCCTGCTCGGGAGAGGGAAGAGTCCCCCGGGGTTTCCTTATTCTGTGACTCACCTGCAGGCCTAGTTTTCTCTAAAGCAGCGGTACCCAAACATTTGGCACCAGACACCTTTTTCGTGGAAGACAAGTTTCCCACGAACCGGAGGGAGGGGTCTGCTGGTAGACAGGAGACAGCGCTCAGCTGCTGCCTTCCTCCTGTGCCGACCAGGTCCTAACAGGCCACCCACTAGTACCGGTTTATAGCTCGCTGGCTGGGGATCCTCACTCTAAAGAACCATTAGGGGCCTAGACCCTCCCTAAAACACCCACAGCGGTTTCCTCACACCCTACAGCACCTGGTGCACCAGGATGCTCTCCCTGGTTCTCTAGCTGAGACCTTCTCTGGAAGCCTGATTTGGGTTTTCTGAGTCATCAGCATCCACCTGAGTCTGTGTCACCCCTTAGAGACCTGCACACTCCTACCCGAAATTCACACTCTGAGTCTAGACCATTCCAAGGAAACAGGACATTATCCCAGATGCCTCTGTCCAAGCTGGTGTCTGGGTGTTACACTCCCTTCCCCCACCCCTGCTGTCCTGTCCACTCTCAGGGTGGTCACATGAGCATTGCTGGAGTGTCCCATGACCATGAAAACTTCCTGAATTTTCTCACCCTCCCCTCAGACCCTCCAAAGACACATGTGACCCACCACCCCATCTCTCACCGTGAGGTCACCCTGAGGTGCTGGGCCCTGGGCTTCTACCCTGCAGACATCACCCTGACCTGGCAGCGTGATGGGGAGGATATGACCCAGGACATGGAGTTGGTGGAGACCAGGCCTGCGGGGGATGGAACCTTCCAGAAGTGGGTGGCTGTGGACCTGCCCCCTGGAGAGAAGCAGAGATACACATGTCATGTGCAGCACCAGGGGCTGCCTGAGCCCCTGACCCTGAGATGGGGTGAGGAGGGGATGTGGGCATAGAGCCTCTCCTCAGGGTGTCCCTGAGCAGGGTCAGGACTCAGGCCTGAGGTTGACCTCTTCCCCTCCCATCAGAAAACCCCCTCCTCAGACCACCATCACCATCGTGGGCATCAGTGCTTCCCTGAGTCTCCTTGGAGCTGTGGTCACTGGAGCTGTGCTGTGGAGGAAGAAGTGCTCAGGTGGGCAAGGGGTGGGGCTAAGTTTCCTGTCCCGCTGGGGGTCAAGCCCAGGTGGAAATGTGCTCTGCCTGATTAATGGTCATTGTATCCCCACACGGGTGCTTGTCCATCTGGGGCCTATTTCCTAAGAGACTCTTTAGTGAGGCCCGTGGGAAAGTGAGGGACAAATTTATCACCTGATGGTTCTAACAATGGGAACTGATTCCCAGCTGTCAGAGGTCACAGGGAAAGTTCCCTGCTGAGGACGCATGTCCAGACTGGTGGTTGGTCCAGTCCTGCACATGTACTTTTCCAGTATTTCCTGATCCTACCCTGATGTTCAGTCACAGTTCCAGAAACATCTCTATGCTTCATGAGTATGGGGCTCCTTTAGGGTCACAGGACCCAGCCTTCCCCCTGACGTCTCACAGAACATTTTCTTCCCACAGATAGAGGCAGGAAGAGCTACACTCAGGCTGCCTGTAAGTCTGGGTTTCAAAGAAGTGACATCTGGGGCCCTTGGGAGAGTGTGGGCTAGAGTCTGTGATGGGGGCTCCCTCACCCCATAACTCTGCTGTTCTGTCTCCCCCGGGCAGTGACAGTGCTCAGGGCTCTGATGTGTCTCTCACAGCTCCTAAGGGTGAGACCCTGTGAACAGGAAGTGGGGGGCATTGGGACTGAGAAGCACATTTGGGTTTGGGCGATTCTCAGAGTAGGACATTCTGAGCGTGTGGTGGGCTGTGGGAAAATGTAACACTTCTGAGACTGACCTGAATTTCTTTGTGACAACTTTCTTTCCCAGTGTGACAGCTGCTTTCCACAGTACTTGGTGCTAAATAGTCAGTCCAGCCATCCTTTGGAATTATGAATCCCTGACTTTTGTTTGTACATTACTGTGTGTGTGTGTGTGTGTATATACACTACAATATATATGGATATATATGTAAACGTTATTGATGGAGATTAAAAACTCCAAGGTGTATGATTTCTGGTAGGTGTTATTCTATCTACACCTTCACCCCATTTATTAACCCATTTCAAGTTATTTTAAATTCATAAACTTACTATCAGGTGTGGAGACAACCCAGGAGGGGCAGACTGTGTGCCATGGGACAAGGGGACTGCACAGTTCCCCACTGATGTTCCCTGTGACCACCTGTGCTCCATACACTATTCAGGGTTCCATCCCTCACATCTGAATGTGAACTTTTGGAGCCTCTGGCCATGGCTGGTTGAGCCCCTGATTCTAACCAAGTGCTGCTTTATACACTAGGAGTCTCCCCAAGCTTCCAGGCCCCCCTCTTGTAGACCTCAGGAATGTCTGCATGGGATTCAGAGAGCTGACCAATCAGAAGGTGAGTACACCTGCTTAAAGCAGAAGCTGTTCCAGCGTCCACTGTCCTTAATCCACTGCGGACACTGCTCTCATTCTGTGGATGCTGAGTCCTGGAAGGTCCTGGCCAAGGAGCCCATGTCCTTAATGGCTTCCTCTGAGAGTTCCTCCCCAACAGAGAGCCCTTGGGCCACAGGGTCAGTCTGGCTGCTGGGCTGAGGACAGAATCAGGAGACAAGGGACCAGTGAGGCAGGAGGGAAAGGTGTGGGAAACCTCCCAGCATTCCAGGCTGCAGGTGCTGGGTGTTCTGATGGGGCTGTGAGTGGTGGAAACAGGGGGAAGGGGCTGGACACTGAATGCATTTGGAAGATGGATTTCACCGCATTTAGTAAGGACTAAATCTGAGGTGTGGGGAAGCAGTCGAGGTGGACACTCCACATTTGCACTGTGCTGGCAGAAAGATGGGGTTTTATCAGCAGAGAGGGCGAAGACTCTGGCAGGAACATGTGTGGGGGAGGGGTGGGCATTTGAAGCATTCAGCTAAAGAGAAGGTCAAGGGGAGATGTCTGTTAGACACACCAGTGAGGTGTCAGGTTGGACAGATGAGTGTGGGGACCTTGAGGAGAAATGTCTGGGCTGCAGACATAGGTGTGGAGGTGATGATGACATTAAAGCCGTGAGTGTGGATGAGGCCACCAAGGGGGCTGGGACTGTGGAAGATGAAGAGCAAGGACTGGACACTGTACCTCCCTGTCCCAGCAATGGGGACGTTCATCCTGGTGACCCACCCAGGTTGGTGATGGCCATATCTCCCCATCATACAGTCACCATTTGGTGATTGTCATTCATTAGTAACTTACAGGGAGATATTCTGAGTTTGTCCTGCTGTGTTTGTCACCACTTCCACACTCAGCTTTTTGCCCCTCTATTAACTTCCACCCAAGTCAACAGGAATATGATGGTTGTCCTATACCAGCCCTGAGTATTGTTTACTAGGATGTACAGTACATCACAGAGAATACAGTCAATAATATTGTTGTGAATATTTATGGTGTCAGATGGGTCCTAGATTTATCACGGAGATTACTCAATAAGCTATGTAAATATTTAATCACTGCGTTTTCCAGCTGAAACTGGTATAATATTGTATGTCAACTGTAATTGAAAAGTAAAAAATATTCAAAGTTAAAAAAGTTATAACTACAAGCCATCCTGGTCTTGAGGAGATTTGGATGCACACAATTCTATGATGCAATAAGACCCATTTTGGGGAAAGGCCTTGAATCCACAGTTCAGTGTTCTTCCCACCCTTGGGAAGGAAAGGTAGCTCATAATTTGTCATACGAGGATGGAAGGTATGTGCTGTTATCTCTACCGTGGAGTAAAATCAAGCAGAGGATTTAGAAATGGCTCTCAGTTTAACATAATGAAAATCTCCAAATGCTCACTCTATGCAATTAACCCTCTGACTGATTTCTTGGAAGAAATAATGGAATCCAAAAATTTCTACTTTAAGTAGAAAAGGATTTCTATGTGGAATATTGGGAGCTCATTTTATTTCAAGAAAAGCCACAGACAGACCTGGGGCCATGAGCATCCAGAGCTATGGGACTAGAACCCACAGGGAGACCAGCCTGGGTCACAGGGATGACAGTGTGAGGGACTTGGGACAAGGTCTTACAAGAGAAGGAGCTGAAAGAAAGGGTCCAGCGGGAAACACTGTGACGGGAGCTCCTGGTGCAGATGTCCCTGCACCCCAATGACACCTGTCTAAGTTCAAGCTCCACCCAGGGAATAGGGGACACTTTCTCTGTCTCCTGCCCACTGCTCTTGAGGGCATTTCAGTCATTGCTATCTCTATTCTTAGTCACCAGACCAGCCTGAGGGTGCCATCCTGTGGTCATGTCCTGTGTCACGTGCACTGTCCTCATGGTGTGGCCCAGTGTCTCCATGGTGCTTCATCTGCACAGACACCACCAGAGGCTGCAGCACATTCACATCCCTGCAGCCACTACCAATCCCCTCCAGACACCAAGCCACCCACACTGTTCTGATGCTAGTAGACACCTGTGTCACCTGATACATGCTGGAATTGGTTTTCTCTTTCTTCGTCACTGTGTGAGAGGCCCCTCATCTTTGGGGGGTGCAGACCTCCCCTAGTTGGCTTCTTGTTCTCCTGCTCTTCACCACTCACTGTAAATGCTCAGGCATCCTAGAGCTCCTGGGGTCATGAGCTGTTGGAAGTGACTCTTGACAATATAATCTGTGGATGTCAGTGTTCACAATATTCCTAATTACACTGTTTAATGATCCTTCAATGAATGCAAGAGTTGTACATAAAATCCACAGTGAAGTTTATTTTTAAATTAAAATATAACTGACACACAACCTCATGTAAGTGTAAGGTGCCCAGTGTATTTATCCGATGCACTTACATTCACTCATGTGCCACCTAATGGTGGTGATCCACCCTGAGAAACATGTGGTTGTGTGATGCTATGGTTGTGCGAACAGCACACAGGCACTCACACCTGGATTGTCTCCCTACTGCTCACCTGGACTGCAGGTCTCAGCCTGTTGCTTCTGGGCTGCAAGTCTGTACAGCACGTTATGTACAAAACAACTTGTACAATAAATCAACACAGGAGAAAACGACATCAAGAGACCCTGTAAACACTCATATGAGGCTGCTGCAGCCCCAACAAAGCTACTGTTCTGCAGGAAGCCTTTAAAAAAAAAAAACTGTCACCCAAAGCTATGTTAACTGATTTGAGAGAGACAGAGAGAGAGAGAAGGAAAGAGTGTGTGAGAGAGAGAGAGAGAAAGAGAGAGTCATGGATCAGTTCCCCACCATAGGCACCCTGACCAGACATCAAACCCATAACATTTTGGTACTTGTCATGACCCTCTAACCAGCTGAACCACCTGGACAAGGCAGGCATAAATTCTTTCATGGGGTAGTCTGTTTAGAATTTTGATAATCTTTATTGAGATATTGTTTTCTGATTGTTGAGTTGAGGGTTCTTATGTATATTCTAAAAGAATTGAACTGCAAACATTTTCTCCCAGTCTGTGGCCTGAGCTCTTTTCATAGACATAACAGCAATGCTAATGCACAGGTAGATTTTCCTGGGAGGAGAAATCAGAAGTGAGTCACTGAGATGGTTTCCTGGGAGAGGACTTAGGTGACTGAAGGAGCAGGGGGACAATGTGACTCACTTAATTTTGTATATTCTTGAGTGTCTTTTGAAACCTCCCCTGTGTATAAATAATGTTTTCAAAGAACAAGTCACATAAAATCCCTTCACTTATAAAACTCCTCCTGATGGGTCATCCTCACATCATGATTTAAGATTCAGATTCTGATCTTCTTCTCTAGGACCAACTGTTTGCCTTAGAAATTCCATTCCTGAAAATCTTGGCTGAACTCTATGGACAAATCCTCCCATGGAAAACAGCTAAACATGCCATGTGTAATAAAAAAAAACAACTTCTTAAAAGCAACAGAGCATTAAGGAGATACAAATGACCACGCCCCAGAAGAAGGGAAAGACCCGGCTTGGCCTCCACAGAGGGCAGCGCCCTGAGTGAGCAGTGGAGGAAGGTGTGCAAGTTCATTGTCCAGAGCCCAGACATGCAGCCCAGCAATGTCAGCCCTGTGCTGAGCTCTTCACTTTCCTCCTCATCTGCCTTCCCTTTTATACATGTCAACAATGCTTTCTAAATTAATTATGTGTGTAGAGATAATATGCCATTCATATATGAATGCATATTCACTATAAAAATTATAAATGTTATATTACAAATAGCAAATTACAAATAAAAGTTACAAATAAATATTATTAAACTGAAAGACTTCATTCACCTGTGCAAATTAAAGCCCAATCAAACACAAACAACTGTTTGCAGCAAAGAAAGTAAAGGTTTAGGGGTACTTCTGGCCAAGATGGAGGCAGAGGTAGACACACTGTGCCTCCTCACACAACCAAAGGAAGGACAACAACAAATTTAAAAACAAAAACCAACCAGAATTGAAAGAAAATTGAACCATATGGAAGTTTGACAACCAAGCAGTTAAAGAAGAAATATTCATGACATGTCCAGACATGTAGGAGGGATGGACACTGGCAGCTGGGCACAGAGGACAGAGGCAGGGAGTGGCTGGTACCCAGCAAGGTGGTGGCTGGCAGAGAGGGCAGTCCCACATTTGTGTGCAGGTAAACCAGGAGGAACAACTGGGGAGAGAGACAGACCACACAGCCCAGGGTTCCCGCATGGGGGAAATAAGGCCTCAAAACCTCTAACTGAAAAGACCTGTGGGGTTGAAGCAGCAGTGGGAGAAACTCCCAGTCTCACAGGAGAGTTCCTTGGAGAGACCCACAGGGTCCTAGGATGTACAGAAACCTACCCACCTGGGAATCAGCACCAGAAGTGTTCAATTTGATTGTGGGTAGCTTCAGAAGTGACTGAAAATTGGCAGAGAGTGGAGCAAGTGGCATTGCTCCCTCTCAGACCCCTCCCCCACATAGAGCTTCACAACCCAGCATTGTGGTTTGCCCCGCCCTGGTAAATACCTAAGGCTCTGCCCCTTACTATGTAAGAGGTGCACTGAGACAAAAGAAAATGGCCCCAATGAAAGAACACATCAAAGCTCCAGAAAACATACAACTAAACAGTGAAGAGATAGCCAACCTATCAGATGCACAGTTCAAAACACTGGTCATCAGGATGCTCACAGAATTGGTTGAATATGGTTGCAAATTAGAGGAGAAAATGAAGGTTATGCTAAGTGAAATAAAGGAAAATGTACAGGGAACCAACAGTGACAGGAAGGAAACTGGGACTCAAATCAATGGTGTGGACCAAAAGAAAGAAAGAAATATGCAACCAGAAAAGAATGAAGAAACAAGAATTCAAAAAAATGAGGAGAGGTTTAGGAACCTCCAGGATATCTTTAAACATTCCAACATCCAAATCATAGGGGTGCCAGAAGGAGAAGAGGAAGATCAAGAAAGTGACAACTTATTTGAAAAGATAATGAAGAAGAATTCCTCAATCTGGCAAAAGAAAGAGAATTCCAGGAAGTCCAAGAAACTCAGAGAGTCCCAAAGAAGTTGGACCCAAGGAGGAACACACCAAGGCATTTCATAGTTATCTTAACCAGGATTAAAGATAAGAAGAGAATCTTAAAAGGAGGAATAGAAAAGGAGACAGTCACCTACAAAGGAGTTCCCATAAGACTATCAGCTGATTTCTCAAAAGAAATCTTACAGGCAAGAAGGGGCTAGAAAGAAGTATTCCAAGTCATGAAAGGCCAGGACCTACATCCAAGATGACTCTATCCAGCAAAGCTCTCATTTAGAAGGGAAGGGCAGATAAAGTGCTTCCCAGATAAGGTCAAGTTAAAGGAGTTCATCATCACCAAGCCCTTCTTATATGAAATGTTAAAGGAACTTATCTAAGAAAAAAAAGATCAAAAACATGTACAGTAAAATGACAGCAAACCCACAGTTATTAACAACCGAACCTAAAACAAAAACAAACTAAGCAAACAAGTAGAACAGGAAGACAACCACAGAAATGGAGATCACATGGAGATTATCAGCAGGGAGTGAGAGGAGGAGAGTGGGGAAAAGGGAACAGAGAATAAGTAGCATAGATGGTAGGTAGAAAATAGACAGGGTGAGGTAAGAATAGTATGGGAAATGTAGAAGCCAAAGAACTTATATGTATGACCCATGGATGTGAACTAAAGGGGAGAATGCAGGTGGGAGGGGGTGTGCAGGGCAGAGAGAAATAGAGTGGGGGGATGGGACAACTGTAATAGATTGATCAATAAAATATATTTGAAAGAAAAGAATATGGGAAGCCCTGCTGGTGTGGCTCAGTGGACTGTGCGCTGGCCTGTAAAGAATTTGGGGAACTATTAGGTTTGCTTTTGGCTTATAGCCTTTTGGGGGACAAGGGAAGTGCTGGGTCTTGTGAGAAAGGAGGGCGCTGAGCATAGGTGCTCTGAGGCCCCCCAAGGTTGGAATATTGTAAATGAAGACCTGGTCCTTCCAGCATTAATTATTGGGTCACTCTCCAAGGCACCATGTGAAAGGCCCCTGTCTGCTCAGTTACAGGACAATGATCAACACCAGGATATTGACATTAGTACAACACTATTAACCAAACTACAGACCTTATTCTAATTTCATCAGTTAATTTTTCTTCATAATTGTGTTCTTCTCCCTCTGTGCTGTGACTTTACCCTCACCCCTTCTGCCTCCCTCGCTCTGGGCTGCTGGTGTGTGCACCGCTTCCCAGCGTTGCTCAGCGGCTTCCTTTCCCAGGGCTCTCTGCTGTGGGGCCCTTCCAGCTCCACCCAGACTTCCTCTCCTTCCTCAGCCTCCTCCTGTCTCTCAGGCAAAAATATAATAATTACGTTCTGCATTGTCACAGGGGAGCAGGGGGTTGGGGAACTGCGTGCAAAAGGTAAAGGGACTGAGAAGTACAGATTGGCAGTCACAGACAGTCATGGGAGTGAAGTCCAGCACAGGAAATACAGTCAACAACATTGTGGTAACTACGTGTGGTGTCTGTTGGATATTGGGAATATCAGGGGAAACACTTTGTAAAGTATATGATTGTCTAACCACTATGCTGTATACTTGAAACCAATACAAAATAATATTGTCAACTGTAATTGAAAAAAATTAAAAATTAAAAAGGGAGTAAATGTTTAGCCCTGGCTGATGTGGCTCTGTTGGTTCAAGCATCGTCCCGTAACCGAAAGGTTGTAAGTAGATTCCTGGACAAACCACACACCCACATTGTGTATATGATCCTCAGTCCGGGTGCCTATGGAAGGAAATCAGTTGATGTTTCTCTCTCACATCAATGTTTTCCTATCTTCCTTCCTTTTTCTCCGTAAGCAATGAAAAAATAACATCCTCAGGTGAGTATGAAAAAAAAAGGAAAAGGAAATAAAAAGTAAATAAATGTTTATTTAAGGAAGTGGCACCAAACCAGAGTCACAGGTGAGTTGTAACTCTGAGGCCTGGCTCCCCAATGGCTTCTAGGTGATGGTTGTATGGGGGACTGAGGGACTTAGGGTCGAGGTCTCCAGTGATTGGTCAGCACTAGGGTAGGGGGTGGTTGGTCATTGCATCTCGTCCAATGTCAGCCATGGCATCGTTCTGTCAGGTTTCAGACATTCATTCCACTGCTCTCCCCAGAGTCTAAATGTTCATGAGTACGTATTTGAACACATCAGATATTCAACCACTTTCATCTCTGCAGACACCTGTTCACAGCCCTTGGTCCTGCCATAGAGGGACTGGGTCCCAGCATACCTGGAGCTGGGCAGACACCCTGGGTGTCCTGTACGTCATCTTGGGCAGCCCTGGCCTCTCCTGTTCTGGCTCCCCTGTCCCTCGTGTTCCTCTTTGTTGGTTTACTTCCTCATTTTTCCCACTTTGTCTGGTAGTATTTTCCAAAGAGAGAATGTGAAAAGTTAACTATGAAAACTCTAAATACATGCAGAAACTGTAGGCTATCCTAGCCCTTATTCACGTCCTGACTTGATACAGAACTCTGTTGGAAACATTTTGTCTCCAGAAATCAGAAGGCATTGCAACAACATCTTCTAGTCTCCAGGCCCGTATTTGCTGCCTCTTGAAGTTTTCATGGTCTTGCCCACCCTCTTTCTGAACTCACACCACGATGTGTCTTGGTGTGGGTCTGTTTTTATCTGCTATAGTGAGAATTTGATTAGGCCATTCAAAATGTAAATTTTTACCTGCAAACTTTGAGAACTATTCTTAGAAAATGTTAAAATCATTTCCTCTTCATCATAAATTCATTTTTACATTTCCATACTATCTTTCAACTGTCTTTATTAACTTCTTGGAATCTCATGATTGGCAGACTAATAGGTCTTTTCTCCAGCTCACACACATTTTTCCATTTGTATGACTCAGTAGGAGAACAATTTGAATTTTTCAGTTCACGTACTGATTATACATTTCTATGAAATTTTTAATTTCCAAGAGATCTTTCCTGCTCTATGATTGTGTATAATTGTTCTCTTTCAGAGGCCTTTGTATGCCTTTCAGATTAGATGGAGACCAGTGGAAGGGGACCCATAGGTCTCCTGGTCATCTGCTTCTGTGATATCAGGAACCTTTCCCTCACAGCACTGGGTCATGATTACATTTCTCTGTGTGACTTTTGCTAATGGCCCATCTCACCCATGACACTGCCAGAGTCACAGAGCCAGGGTCCTACTCTGGCTCTGCATTCTGTCTCCAGACTCTAACTAATCCTGACACAGTAGAGGCCTTGAAATCCATGCTGGATGTCGAACTTGACTGTGGTCTGGATGTCTAAGGTACACTGCCCCTTGATGTCCTCCTGAGCTCTGAGCCAGGCAGCCTGCTATCACAGAACATTCTGTAACATTGCAAAAGTCCACTTGCATGGCATGCAGAGTCATAGTGAGGCAGGATAGTAAGCTAGGAAAAGTCCTAGGCAAGAAGAATGGGGAAAATGAGGCAAGAAAATTAGGCAAAGCCAAATGGTCTGAAAAAATTACAGCCCACTGGTGAATCATAAGACCTTATCTCCCCTAACCAAGGACACTAGAGAACAAATGGTTTGTACCACTCCACCCAAACCAGAGAATACATAGTTTAAATCACCCTGGTCAGGAGAAATACACAAGAGAGACCCAGTTCACATCATTTGTACCAGATGAACCCACGGACAG